ATAACACATACGATATATATATATACAGTGAGACTTATTGAGGCCCCATACATTTGTAGTACTAGATCATTCAGCAGTGGGAGAATTCTGCTTAGCTGTAGATTGAGAGTCTATGCTTTTGGCCCGGTGGAGACTCGGTGCTCGATGAAGCCTGCAGCGGAACGAACCGGGATGCTTGGTCGGAGAGCACAAGCAATTGGTCTTCGGCTGTCTGCCAAGTCCCGACGTGGATGTCGGTGCCGCATGAGCGGCCTCTACGGTTTCAGTCTCCGATGGGATCTCCACCTTCAGATCTGTCTTTGACATCTGCCACTCCTGCTGTTGCCAAGTTTCAGTGATTGGCATCAACATGAAAATTACAGTATCTGGATAAAGTGAAAGATGGAAAATTTGTGGACTCCGTACCTCTTCACACTGGTTCTTGAATGATCTTTGAACAGATGATGATGATTCTCTTGTTTACATGTGTCTTACCATCGCTGTCAAGAGATTTCTATATCAAATCCATTTACCCTCCACCAACATTTATAACTTTTTTAATGCCTCAACCATTTTATAATATATAAATGGATATTAAATTTTATATTAGTATAAATTTATAAAAATTTAAAAAATTTAAAATAATTTATTAATAAAAATATAAAAATATTTAAAATATATAATAATTTAGAATTTTAATGAGATACGAACACTCCAACCACCTTGTCTATCCTCTCTCTCTATATATAATCACCTATTCTTGAGCATGCATTTGAATCATGAAATTAGATAATGATGATGAAGATGATCCCTTTCCCTCCCAATAATCTTATGGTGGGGATGGCCGGGGTCCCTATGTTATAATGGCAGACATCCTCTTGAGTGTTAATTAGGTCGGTCATTAGTCGAGTTATAAGATTTCATATTTAAATTTAAATTTAATATAAAATAGTATTCAAATTATACTGTTTTTCTCATTTAAGTATTTAAATTATTTTTCAATTAATTCAAGTGTTTAATGTTACAAATGTTATCATTTTAGGTTTTTCGACTGTTAAAAATTCTTGTTAAGGAACATGTATCGTATCGGATAATTTTAAAGATTTTATTTTTTTTAAAAATTAAAAAATATATTATATTTAAGAAAAAAAATTCAACCCCCTCCCTTTCTCTCCCTCTCATGGTGATTGTGTCGTCGGTAAAAGTTCGATCGGGTGAAGGTTCAGTCGAAGACGACATCAGTGGTCGACGTTGGTATAGGGATTAGAATGAATATTTTTAAAGTTTTGAAGTTATTTTTTGAAGATTTTCAAAAAAAAATTAAAAGAAAATATAATTTGAAGTTTTTTATTTTAAATAAAATCTTCAAAATTATCAAAATGTGACATATGTCGTTTAACGGAATTTTTCAAAGGCCGTTACTATCAGGACACTTAAAATGATAACGTTTGTAACATTAGACACCTGGATTGACTGAAAAATAGTTTAGGTACTTAAATGGGAAAACAATATAGTTAAGACATTTATTTTTATATTAAGCCATAAATTTACAACTAAAATATCGATGTTAGACTTTTCTTCTTCTTCATCTTTATAACCGACAACGGCACTAGCTTTAGTACTAATCACTGATTGTGGATATTCATTACTTTGTTATGTCGTATCTTTCATTTCTTTAAAAAAAATTAATAACTATGCCTTTATGACATATTTTTCTATGTTTTTTAGGCATGTTTTAGGTCGTTTGGTTGTTATTTTAATTTATCATTTTTTTTAGGGTTGGATTTAGCACACCACTAATGATCAAGATATTGCTCATTTGTTATCATATTTATTTTCTTTGCTTTGAACCCTGAGATTGGATTTGGATACGCGATTTGCGTTCGTGGATAGTTTTTTTCACATTACTCGGTTCTGATTTGTGGTTTGTCGGTGATCTTTCAATAACTTGATCCTATTTTTTGGTTCGTTTACCGATGCGATCAGATCTATTCATATCCATCTTTTATTCGAGACTATTTGATTATATTTTTAATATTTTCCTTATATAGTCCTTGTATGATCTTAAGTTACTAATTTATTATCTGAGTGATTATAGAAAAATATTTTTATTAAATGTTCTAGTTTATGACCGTGATTATAAATATTCATTATAATTTGAATATTTTTCTATTATTAATAAAACTGAATACTTCTATCATGTAAAAAAAATTACAACTAAAATGGGTTGGGTCCAGAGTGAGTGGGTCTTCAACATAACCTAATCCATGATTTGAGTCTAATTTAATATAATCACGTGGTAAAATATATAGATATGAATTTTCTGATTATTTGAAAATTTATAAATTGATAGAAAATGTTATTATTTGCATTCATAATATTTATGAATATATTATTATTTAATACATAGATAGTGTATATAGGAAAAGAATAATATTAAAATGAATATGATAAATAAATAAGGCAATGCTCTTTTATTTAAAAACTTTTAAAATAAATTTAAATTTTTATATATGAATCTGAATAAACAAATAAAATCACACTAACATTAAGAGTTTACATATAAATCACTCAAACTTTCTCTGTCGTCTTCTTCAGCCCATCGAATCTCTCTAGCCAACAATTATTACAACTTTCTATCCAAATAAAAAATCAAACTATCACTAACCATTACAATCTCATCTCCTTCAACACAACTATAAACAATACAATAGTATAATAATAAATCCCTAGTTTAAAGCAGCATACCTATGAAAATGAGCAGATGAAAATAATGATGAGGCAGACCCAGTGCTTGGCCTTATACCAAGCACACTGATGGCCGTGGCTGGGGGGCGCAAACTGCGCGACCGCGCAGGACCCCCTAAAAAAGGTGCCTCAAAAAAAATATATAATGGTGTTTTATCAATAAACGTCACTATAGATAGACATATTGTGACGTTTTTTAAAAAAACGCCACTATTATTGCCCCGAAATCGAATATATCTAGAAAATAGGGGTCCCTTTATACGAATTTGTACAGGGCCCCGAAAACCCTGCCACGGCCCTGAGCACACTGCATGCCCTTTGGCCAACACCGTTCGATACAGTGCCGCATGCATGCATCTATAAAGCGATGGAGACCAACCCTTTTCTTCGTTATGAACTATTCACCCGTCAGTGAAACGTTTTTTACAGTTTTGCAAATAACCTTTAAAGGGAAAAATCCTAAAGAACTAATTGAAGATATTGTTCAGTGGTTAATGCTGTCCTTTGTACATTCATGAGATTTGCTCAGCTCAGGCCATTGTTCCCAAAGTTGAAGCACGGCTATTTTTATGAATAAATGCTTCGCCATCTATCTTGCCTTTAGCTTCGCCCAATCCTACATTATATCTCTTAACAGCTCATCGTGCATATAATGTTTGAAATCAAGGATGAGTGGGTGGGAACCATGGTTTTTAGAACCGGACCGGTCGTGCTATCGATTTACTGGTTCAACCGGTTGAACCGGTCAGACCGGTCATAAGAACCGGACGACGTCATAATTATATAAAAAATTAAATAAAAATTAAATAAAAAAATTTAGGTTGAACGGTTCACGGTCCGGTCCGATCCGGTTTGAACTGTTCAAAGCCGGTTCGAACAGTTCAAAACGGTTCACTAACACCGATTCAACCGGGATATAATGGACCGGACTGGTAGCGATTCCCAGTTGAACCGGCCGGTCCGGTCCGATTTTTAAAATAATGGTGGGAAGAATATCCCCTTAAAATTTTAAAATTATTATATATTTAGATTTTTTATATATTTTAAATTGAAAATATGTCTTCACCCTAGAATTTTAAAAGTTTGTTATTTTTTAAAATTTTAGAAATTCACCCACAACATAAGATTATTGTCAACATATATCTTTTAATAAACTATATTAGAAATTTAAAAAATACGTTATCAAATTATTAATAAAAATATAAAAAATACTTAAATTATATAAAAAATAAAAAAAATTGAAGAATGCAACTGCCCAAACATCCTGTTGGTCTGTCTCGACTATTTATAAGTTTATTACATTCCAATCTAACATTATATTTGATACTTTTGAGAAAAATATATAAGTATTTTAAATAAAAATCATTTAATAAATATAAAAATAATGTAATAACATCCTACATTTTTTTTGTTGAAAGAACCCCCACTTTTATACATAATTAATGCGTACTTAATGAAACAACTTTATTGCGTAATTATATTTATATTTAAAGTTTTGACATGTACTGTATTTTTATACACGTGTGAGTTTGGTATCTATGTTAAAATTGTCTAAATATATTTTTAGTAGAGTTCTCTGAACGTATTTTGATTCATCAAATTGATAATTTAATTAATTATTTAATAATATATATAAATTTTAAAGACAATTCTCCCGATGCTTAATTCACAAACTCTATATTTTAATCTTTTCAATTAGCACCCCTAATTGCGAGTGATAATCCTTAATAAAGATGAGTATTTAATCAAGAGGATTCGATTTGTTCACTCTGGTCCCTAAAAAAACAATTTGTCTTAGTTCCCAGAGATTATTCCTGCATATCATCGGACACATAGAGACGGGCTTTCTCATCTCATTAGTCATTTTCAGTGAGGACTTTACATTGTCTCGTTGCATTTAGATTTTCAAAGACTTAGGTTTGTGCAACAAAGAAGATACACAGAACATCCACCCACAGATCCTTAACCAATGCCTTTTTATTGTTTACACGATCACGTAGAACCCAAAATTCCGACAACATCGGCCAGACACCTTTTCATCTTCCAAAGGTCAACGCAGTTTGCTTCTACTACTAGATTGAAAACACTTTATTGTCGTTTTTATTGTTTTCCAAATAAGATCCCATGTTCACTACACCATGCAAATCAAAAAGATGATTCACTTAGTTGTCCATGGATTGATTACATTTTATAATACTAGAAGTAGTAAGTATGACTTCAACTTACACGAAAAACCCTAAAACTGAGCCTCGATCTACATTTTGATGGGATGATCAACCATTTTGAACCCTGGCTGCTAAGGCTGCCAAGAAATCTGGGAACTGACAAATATTATCCAACATGAAGTCTTGAGATTGACCCAGCTGAAGATGGTTCGCCGGTATCTCATTGCAGTATGGCCCCACTTGAGGACCTGTGATTCCATTGAAGCTCTCAATCTGTTGAGGAACACCATGACGGTGATCTATATAAACGTCTAAATGCTCGTTCTTCTTGTGCTCCTTCAACTCACTCAGGGATTGATTTAATGACATATGAGTTGCTGGTGGAACAATGGAATCTTGAGTACAATCAGTAACTGATTTTTTTGATGTGCGCTTTGGTAAGAATCCTTGAATTATCTCTTGCAACAAGCCTGAATCAGAAGACTCGTGTATGAAGAACTCCATGTCATTAGCTTGAGGGTTTTCCATGGCAGCAGACGGTGGCGCCACAGCCGTTGTGTGACTTGAATTCTTTTCCTTGTGAGGAAGAGTCATAGTAGAGCCGATGAAAGAACCAGTGATATCGTTGTCGCTTGTTGGGGGAATCAACGAAGTAGAACTTGGCAGAATGGAGAAAGAAGCAGCAGCAGATGATGTTCCATTGATCAATGGAAAATTGTTAACCAGACACGGAGGACACGCCGGAAAAGATGAATTTGAAGGTGAGTTTAAGAGGTCGCGTAATAAAAGCATGTCCAAAGAAGCGTTTCTTTGAGGCGCAGAGCCCACAGAGAATTCTCCCAGTTGGGGGTTAGTAAAGGGTGGCCATTGATGGTGCTTGCTGTTAAGATCCCTGATGGATGGCTGTGCTTGCTTGGAGAAGTTGAACGGATGAGGAAGAAGACCATCGTTGTTGGTGGAATGAGGTTCGGTTATAGGGTAGACAAAATTGGTTCGAGCCTTGATCCCCCGCATAGCACGAGCAGCACAATCATAAGCGCAAGCAGCCTTTTCAGCCGTGTCGAAAGTGCCAAGCCATCGCCTCTCCTTGGACTGCGGGTCTCGTATCTCAGCAGCGTAACGCCCCCAAGGCCTCCGGCGGACTCCGCGGTACTTCATAGTCCCACCAGATATACCATTCTCTTTGAGAGACCTCTTGTTTGATGTCGCTGCCGTGCTGCTTCTGGTGGTGGTAATCTTCGAGGCAGCGGCGAAGGTTGTGGCTGAGACGGCGAACTTCTTTGAATTTTCTTCGATAGGGTCAGTTGAAGGCACATGAACGATGCCGTTTAGTCGCCTGAAAGTCTCCTCCATCGGGAGAGCAAGTGAAAAAGTAGCTGATAAATCAAAAGCGAAAAGAGAAGGAGTACAATATCTGAAAGTGGAAGCAAGGATGTGGATAGTGGCGGAGCATATATGCTTGTATTTATAGGTATAAATACATATAACTGACAAGAGGAGAGGGTAAGGAGATATCTATATGGAAATGACCCATTACTCCCAAAATATATTCAAACCAGCTAAAACTTTAAACTTAATACTTTTTATATCATAATTACTAGTTTCTTTTTTTTTAATTAAGAACAACAATTACTGTTAATTCTATTTTACGGAGATAAACTATATATAATAAAATTATTAAAGAAAATATAAGATTAAAATAAATTAAATCACATCAATAAATAATCTTTCTTTTTAAATTATCGTAAGTCACCAACTAACTACTAAATAATAAAATAGAATTACCCAATAATATATTAAAAATATGATTAAATAATTCAAAAACTATAAATACAATAATATTATTTACAATGAAAAATAAACATCATCAACACTTAAAGGTGTATAATAATGACATTTTGATAAACTAATTTTATCGCATTTCAATTCCGATTTATGTGATAATTGTGAGAGTTTATCAGTAAAAGATAATCAATTTAAGAGTTCAAAACATGAGTAGATAAATAATATAACCAAGTAAACGATAAATTTAATCATGAGAAAATAGAAGTTGTGCTACAAAAGCATACAAGAACATATTACAAGAACAAGCAGAGTTATCTATTATTGTTGTTATCCCTTGAGGTCTCGGGTTTAAGCACCGTGTATATAACAATATAATCATTTAATGTCAAATAATAAGGGTTTTTAATTATATTAATCCAAATTAATAAAAAAAACTCAAAAGATTAATGTTAATGTTAATTATTTATAAACATATAAAAGAATTTAAAAAAAAAACAAGAGAGATAAATAAGAAGACTAAATGTTTTTAGTTACAATGTTAATTGATTCCTACATTATAATTATTAGTAATTTCTTTTAATATTTTCATGTATTTTCCTATGATATTTTGTGAGTTTTTAATATTTAATATTTAAAATTAATATATATTATATGTTTTGTGATACATTCTTAAAACATCCCATGATTTTTTTATAATAAAAAATAAATGAGATGATATACATACATTTTTAAATATAAATATATATATATATATAATTAACATGAATAAAACTATCTCAGTGGTTAAATGGATGATTATTATCTCTAGAGATCTCAAGTTCGAGCAAGAATTTTTATAGTAAATATTACCTTGTAATCATACTATATTAATAAAAAAATAATTAGATTAAATAAGAAAAATTAAATGTTAAAGTGACAATAAAATACAATTTTATAGATTTGAATATCTTAATCCAAAATTTTAATTTAACGATTTTTTCAACAAGTGGAAGGACCCCATTTTACAATAATTAAATTAACTTTTAAACAGTATTTACCTTTAAACATTAATTAAGCAAACCCTATTTTTGAAGAGATTAAATTTCAGTACTTTCCCCTGTAGGTGTTGCGGACCATCCTCGTCTCTTTACGCAGACTTTTATCCCACAACGTTATTATCGCATTCTAAATTCTCTTTCCTTCAATTCCATCTCAACGAGCAATTCCTTTTCAAAGGTTTCAATAATATTGATGTGATTGTATTATAAATCAATGCACTTCTGTTTCATGCAATAAATAATCCATATTTTCTGGACAATTTTCTTCCAAGTTGAAGAGCTTTGAGCTGTTGGGTGCAGAATGATTACACCGGCGGCACACGGACGCTGTTTGCTCCCTTTTGAGATGGTTCAGCGTTGACATTTCTTTGCAAATAATTGGGTTTTCAAGGAGTTGAGGGCAATGGTTTGCCTTTTTGCTGGTGCGTCGGTGATTTGGTTTAGGGTTTGAAAATCAAGGTTTTAATGGCTCACATGCACCTGTCCCACGTAGGGGATTAGTAGGGTCTTTAATGGAGGAGTCCCCCACACTTTAAAGTCAGAAAAAGGAAGGACGCATTAATTGCAACTCTAGTTTATTTCATGTACTGTTTTTTTATTTTTTATTAATATATATAAATATAATATAATATAAACCATTTAATAATAAACATTTATTCACCTATACACGTATATATTTGAACCCGGGATTCTCACCTATCTTTCATGCACGGTGTGATCTATCATTCACGTATATTTTAAATGCTACTTATGACAATTCGGACTTCTTCTAAATAAATTTTAGATTTGAGATTATTTGGACGAAAAATAGTGATTTGATGTATTTTTTTTCGTTTAATGATATATCAAAATTCTAATCTATTTCAACTTTTAGAGATAATGTTATTAAAAAAATCATAAACCCTACATATATTAAAATAACTCTAAAGCAATGACAGATTAAAAAATATTTTTGACATACTCGGGAGAGGCTTGCTTCAAAGCCTAAACTTTTTTAAGTTTTTAAACTTCTGGACTCTGCATCCTGAGTTTAGGACTATTGTTAAGAATTCCTGGGAGGTGCCTTTGCAGGGGAACCCTATGCAAGTACTGTTTTGCAAATTGAAGAGATTAGAGCCTGAGTTGAGAGCTTAGAATAAGAAGTATTACTCTGATATTTCTTTGAAGGTTGCTGCTAAGAGGGAGGAGCTGAGCAGCAACTTGTGAATCTGTCTGGTGCTGGCTTGTGTAATGTGGAAGCTCAGGGGAAGCTTTTGCAGGAATTGGTTGAGTTGGAAAATGCTAAAGGTCTGTTTTATCAACAAAAAAGCCAAGGCTGCTTGGCTGCGGGTGGGGATCAGTGTACAAAGTTTTTTTTTCTCCCAGGTTGCAGTAAAGAGAGAGAGAGGAATACACGCGTTTGGTTTACGGAATGTAAGATTACCAGTGAAAATGTAAGATTACCAGGCAATAAAATTACCAGGAAATATAATTATTGGTAATGTTGTATTTTGTGTTTGGTTGACTTAGTATGAATGTAAGATTACCATATTTGGTTAAAAGAATAAAAGATTATTGGAATGTATATTTGACCAAATTATCCTTATTATATATTTATTTTTTTAACAAGTTGAAAAATATTTATATATTTTCTTTAAAAAATTTAAATTCATAAAAATTATATAATTTTTTTACAAAATTAAAAATATAAAAAGGTTTAATGAAATGGTAAAATTTTATTTTAACCCCTGAACTTCATATAAAATTTTAATTATAGACTTTTTTTTGTAAATCTAAAATAGTTTAAGGATATATTTGTAATTTAACATTCGTAGAATTTTTATTATTCAATGACAGAAGAAATATATTTTTGAAGAAAAAAAAATTTAATGCATTTGAGTCGAAAACGCCGGTAATCCAACAATACCTAAAGAAAGGGAGGTAATGACATTCACGGTAAAATACCCAAAAAATCCACTATTGGTAATCTTAAATTACAGGGAATGAGATTCCCGGGCTAACCAAACGGGAGAATGCGGATTCTACTCCCATAGGAATCCCATATTCCTCCATCCAAACGCCCCCTTAGGGTATCGTAGGATGAGGAGGGGCTTAAGCTTGAGACCTTTGATGCTATGGCTGCTGAGATGGTGAGGTTTTTTTACCAGACAGATTGGTACATCTGATGATAGGGTTAAGGGTTATACTGTAGAGGTATTGAGGGATTTGCTCAATTATTCTGTCTGGTGGAGCTGAAACTGAGCTGACTAAAGGAGTTACTAGTGATGAGATCAAAGCTGTTGTGCTTAAGCAAGGGAAAAACAAGGTTCTTGGGCCTGATGGGTTCACAGCTGGCTTTTTCAAAGCTGTTTGGGATATTGTAAGGGGAGATGTTGTTGTTGCAGTGCAGTTTTTCTTTGCTACTGCAGAGTCGATCCCTGCTTGCAATGCTACTGCCATAACTTTTGTTCCCAATATGCCAAATCCTGATATGACAAAGGACTATAGACCTATCTCTTGCTGCTCTGTTGTCTATAAGGTCATTACTAAAATTTTGGTTGTTAGACTTGCTTCTTACTTTCTTAGAATGATTTCCTTGAATCAATCAGCTTTTGTGAAAGGTATGGGTATTGTTGATAATACACTCCTTGCTCAAGAGATTGTTAGAGGATATAATAGGAGTTCGTTATCTCCTAGATGTGCCATTAAGGCATATTTGTAGTAGGCCTATGATTCTCTAAGTCAGGATTTTGTCCTTGTTGTCCTGGAGGTGTTGGGATTGCCTGCTCAGTTTAGGAAGTGGATTGAAGTTTGCATTACTGGATCAAAGTTCTTTGTTTCTTTCAATGGAACACTTGTTGGATATTTTGGAGACAGAAGGGGTATAAGGCAGGGGGATCCCTACTTATTTGTTTTGTCCATGGATGTGCTTTCTCGATTGCTGGATGCAAAGGCTGCAAGGAAGGTCTTTCACTATCATCCTAAATGTAGGAAAATAGGTCTTATTCATATGTGTTTTGCATATGATTTACTTATTTTCTACAAGGGAACTTTAGACTCCATTTGGGTATTAAGTGCATCTTGGAGGTGTTTTATGATTTTTCGGGGCTGAGGCTTAATGCTGTAAATTTTGAGATGTTTTTCTCTGGTATGACTGAGGCTCAATCAGGGTTGGTTCATGAGGCAACAGGTTTCAAGCTTGGTTCCCTACCTGTCAGGTATGTAGGTAGGGTGCAGCTGATTGGTGTTGTCTTATTCAGCATTGCAAACTTCAGGTGTAGATAATTGGTGATGCCTGCTGCTGTGATCAAAAGAGTCGAGCATTTGTGTGCTCAGTTTCTTTGGAAAGGTGGCGATGTGCCTGTCTGGGGAGCTAGGGTCAAATGGGATTGTGTATGTCTGCCTAAGTCTGAAGGGGGTTAGGGATTAAAAATCTGAGTTGGAGTAAAGCTTGTGTCCTAATGCTGATGAGAAATATCCTTGTTGGGGAAAGATCTTTATGGGTTGCTTGGGTACGGGATTATGTGTTCAAGGGTATGGATTTTTGGCAAGTGAATTGTAAGCGCCATTTTAGCTGGATCTTGAAAAAGGTTATGCGAATGAGAGAGGGGGGCAAGCAGTTGTTTGAAGGTGTCAATGATTGGGGCAAGATCACGGTGAGGTGGCTGTGGGATGAGGTTACAGAGAAGCAGGAACAGGTGGCATGGAAGATGATCCTGTGGTTCTTTATGAATGTCCTCAAGCATTCGGTTATTGCTTGATTGGTAATCCTTGGTAGGTTGCCTGCAACTGATAGACTTATTCGAATGGGATTGCAGGTGGATGGTGGTAGTAGGAATTGCGATGGGATGATGCAAGAGGCTCGGGATCATATTTTCTTTGAATGCTCTTTCTCGATAAAGGTTTGGAAGGCTGTTTTACAGCTGTGTGGTATTCGCAAGGCTGTTGGGAGCTGGAATGAGGAATTAAGTTGGGCTGCTGTGTTTTTTAAGGGCAAATCCCTGCCTGTTTACATACTTAAAATTGCTTGGTGTGCATACATGCATTGTATATGGGAAGATAGGAATTTTAGGCAGTTTAGAGGTATTAAAAGAGGGGTGAGGGATATTGTAGATGTTATTAAAGTAATTGTTAGATTGAAAATGTACAGAAAGGATGTTAGCAGTGATGCTGACAACCATGACTTGTGTATAGCTAGATTTTGACTTCCTTTGGTCTAGTGATTGTATGTTTTTTTTTAGCAGCGTGATTGTTGCTTCTTGGATAAATAAAGCTCAACTTATCAAAAAGAGAAAAAAAAGAATTGAACGTCAACTATATATATATATATATATATTAATAACATAATTTTTCATATGAAATGTATATAAATAAAATTTTAAGATATATATTATTAATAAAATAAACAATTAACATAAAAAAATTTGAATTTTAAATTACATACGAGCCCACTCGAATTCCTCTTGCATCCGCCGCAGCCCTAAAGAATATAAACACTTCACCCCAAATTATACATGTTAAATAGGAAATATGACATTAAAATAAATAATACTATATATATATATATATATATATTAAAAATAAAATATAAAAAATAGTTCAACTTTTAAAAATCATTAATAGCATTACCACGTCGCATTTACTTGATTTAAAAACAAATAATTTGATTTAACAAAGATGAAAATAACTTTGCACTTTTTTATGGTGAACAACTGGTTCAAAAATATTTTTAGTGAAATTCAGTTTTAATTTTATTATAAGATAAAATGTGTTAATTAATTAATTATTCAAACCAAATATTAATTTTAAAATTATGATTAACTTTGATACTTTAATTATTTATTTTTAAATGTAATCGTAAAATTAGTTAAAATAAAAATATATACACTCTCGTAAATAGATATTAGTGAAAATAGATCAAAACACATGTAAATAAATAAATCAAATTTCAATTTAAATGAATTTTATATTATTTAAAGTGAAATGGTACGTATGTAAAATAGTATATATATATATACATACTACATAGTGCATGAGAAAGAGAAATAGTGACAGTGTAGAGGAGAGAGGGTGGTTTATAACTTTATATCTGGGGGGTGGCCCTGGACAGAGACGCCAACTAGAGAGAGACATTTCCTTTGTCTCATTACCCAATTTGCTACTTGCGGTGCTGGTACAACTAGATTGTACCCACTAGTTTAACATGTGACAATGTCTCGGACATTTTCGAAGCCCCGAATTGAAATTCATGCAAACGAGTTGAATCATAGCAGAACCATAGTTGATTTGAAGTTGCTTGTTTAAAACCTTCTCTCTCATAAGCATAATGCCACGATGAACTGAATTCAGGATATCTTTTGGGTGGATCTTTAGGCACTTAACCACTAAATCATTTGAAGAGATTGATATTTCCCCCCATAAATTTGCAATTTACTAATAATAACCTACTAAATATGTAGAATTCAGCAATGGATAATAAAATTCATACTAGAAATAATTATTAAGCACTTTAATGGAATATCAGTGGCAACAATCCACTAATGATCATCTATAACCATCAATGTCCCGTTTCTTAATCTCAAGTATAGTTTAAGACATGTTCAAAAAATGTAGAGTTGAAGACCCTTGCAGAGAGTTGCAGAAAATTTCCATGATGCCCAACTTTCCAGTTCGTTAATGACAGCAGCCATCTTTCTGTGTCTCCCAACCATATTCTTTCTGGGTAAGTTTGATCTTTTGTCTAGAGGAAGAATATGATCAGGAGAGATAGATAAAGGGCTGCTTCCATTAAGGAAGTGGAAGGTATCCATGAAGTCTGAAGATATTCTGCAACTCTATGCAATTGTGGTGAACTCTCAAAGTAAACGGAGGATTACAGAGATCCGGAAATGAGGTAACATGTTGCCCATAAACATATTAGATTTATTACTTTATTTATCACATTGAAATTTGAGAAGAAGGGGTGGCCAATGGACGTTAAAAAACAAGGGGTTGTTCATGCACATGATATCTAACGTATTTAATTTACTCTTGCAGTGGCGATGTCCACTAGTAGAGATGGCCGATAATTATTTAAGGGTTACTCTTTATATTATCATTAAGTTATGATTTTTTTTATATGTAAAACATTATTTTCAGCCAATGAAGATAGTTTCTCAACACATTGGAATATAACAATTTGAGGCATTTTTAAACTTTCAACTCAAAAGTTTCTTTGACCATCCGTCTTGTTCCTTCTTGTTTAAAGAATTCTTCAAGGAACTCTGAGAAACGATATTCCCAATATAGAGGAGGATGCTGCTCATCAATCAAATCCCGTATAGGACCGATAATTGTATCTTTATCCGGAGTGTAGAACGTCGCTATCGAAACTCGTTTTCGAGTTTTGTTCGTCACTGCCCTGTGGTGCACACTCTTGAACCTTCCATTACTCAGTACCTTCATGCATTCACACACCATGAGTCTTTTTGCAGTTAGAATGGAGTCGAATTTACTAATGATGCTAAAGTTTGTGTAACTTATAAATGATTTTTACCTGAATCTGATCGCCGATATTGATGACAAATGCATTGGGGATTGGTTCAACTTGAACCCAGTTTCCATCTTTGATCACTTGTAGTCCAGTTACCCCTTCCAATTGCCTAACGATTGTGAGTGCACTCACATCAGTGTGAACATTTAGTCCCAATGTAAGTTCAGGGTCCGGACATGGTGGGTAGTAGTTCCCCTGTGCTCGAAACGCCGGCTTCTCGCCGATCTTCGTCTCGAGACAATCGTTTTCGAGTCCGAGTCCTTGAGATATCAAGCTCAATAGCCTTTTCATTAGAACATAAATCTCCTTTCCATATTCAACAATAACCTCTCTGCACACAGTTGACGATCATCAAATCAAATTTATATCAAATTTATATAATGTACTATGATCAAATTATCAGAATTAAACATTAAAAGCCATAAGACTGACCGGTATTGAGGAGGATTTTGGGGTAAAAGATGGAGGATATCATCCAATGGATGCCAAGGGTGAGCAAAGCATTCACTCCACATGGAAACTTTCTTTTGGCCATCACTTTTAACATAGTAATTGAACAGCTTCACTTGCTGGGTTTGATCCGTTGCTAAAAACGGTGCCTTTTCTTGAGGTGGAAGTTCAAAGAAAGCAGTGAGAACGGCCAACATTCTGTCGCATAATTCATGGGGTACACCATGGTTGATGATCTGAAAGAAGCCATATTCCTCACAAGCTTTCGAGATTTTGTCGACAACTAACGAGCACGGTTCCTCCATCAAGTCGATGACAGGAACCGAAGACAAAAGGGGTGGTTGGTTTAGGTTTGGTCTTTTGTCTTGAGGAAGGATATGGTGGGGAGAGACAGATAAAGGGCTGCTGCCATTGACGAAATGGAAGGTCTGGGCATCCATGAAGTCTGAAGATTTTTTATGGAACTCTCTGCAAGTATGGTGAACTCTGAATGTAAACGGAGGATTATAGAGATCCGGAAACGTCATAACAACTTGCACATAAACAAATTAGATTTGTTACTTCGTTCAGTCAGTTGAAAAAAAATTATTAGTTTATTAATCACATTAAGATTTGAGAATAAGCGTTGACCAATGAACATAAAAAAACAAAGGGGTTGTTCATGCACTTGTAAGGCAAAAATAAGTCACAAAATTTAGATGGCTTGCTCTCTTTTTCTTTTTTGTTTGCTGACGTTATGATGCTTATGGTTTACTTCAATATTCTTTTAATTTTTTTTACTTTATTATATCATATCTTTTATCTTTTAATAATTTTATTTTTATGATATGTTTTTCTTTATATTTATAATTTTTTTTATCTTTTTGGAATGTTATCAATCTTCTTTATCATTCGTTTCATCTTTTTTTGTTTAATTTTCTCAGGATTAGATTTAAAGTTATCTAAATTGATTAAGATATAACTTTTTTGTCATTATGTTGATTTTTTTTTCTACTTTAGACCCTCATATTAAATTTAGATATGCGGTTTGCGTTCATAGATAGTTTTTTCACGCCGCTCGATTCTGATTTACGATTATCGCTAGTTTTTCAATAATTTAATCCCCTATTAAAATTTATTTTCAGATACAATCAGATCTTTTTGTATTCATTCAATAATTCTGAATCTCTGTAAAACTAAAATATTTTGTACATAATAATCGATAAGTTTGATAAATTTAATTATTTTGAGCCATAAGTAAATTTTGGAGTCAATTTACCCTTGAATTGTTTATTTATCAAAAGACTTCCGTGAATTTTGAAAACATAACACATGATCCCAAACGATGTTGGGTTTTAAATATTCTATTGATATATATCATTTAGGCAATAATGGCTAAAATTGGACTCACCACACTGTTTTCATTTCAAGCGTCTGCTTACCCAAATTGGCAGACAAATAGAAGAATTTGACGTTAAAAATAGCATTTTTTTTAAATTAGAATTTTCCAAAGAAGATTGAAAACAGAGGAGAATTTGATTTAGGATTCCTTTCTTAGCTCACAACGTTTGGGTGGGCATCAAATGCGAGTCCATTGTACCTACCACCCTTAGACAACTAATGGCCCTGCCTACCCTTCAACCCCTTCACTGCAAATGTAAATTAGATATCACTCGATCTGATTTAATGGACCAACCCTTTGTTTCTTATATTCATGGACCACCCCTCTTCTCCGTGTGATAAATAAAGTAATATATCTAACTTGATAATCTCCAACTTGTTATATCTACAAATCCTCCGTTCACCTTGCGAGTTGCAGAAAATCTTCAGAGTTCATGGATGCCCAGACCTTCCATTTCGTCAATGGCAGCAGCCCTTTATCTGTCTCTCCCCACCATATCCTTCCTCAAGACAAAAGACCAAACCTAAACCAACCACCCCTTTTGTCTTCGGTTCCTGTCATCGACTTGATGGAGGAACCGTGTGCATTAGTTGTCGACAAAATCTCGAAAGCTTGTGAGGAATATGGCTTCTTTCAGATCATCAACCATGGTGTACCCCAGGAATTATGCGACAGAATGTTGGCCGTTCTCACTGCTTTCTTTGAACTCCCACCTCAAGAAAAGGCACCGTTTTTAGCAACGACTCAAACCCAGCAAGTGAAGCTGTTCAATTTCCATGTTAAAAGTGACGGCCAAAAGAAAGTTTCCATGTGGAGTGAATGCTTTGCTCACCCTTGGCATCCATTGGATGATATCCTCCATCTTTTACCCCAAAATCCTCCTCAATACCGGTCAGTCTTATGGCTTTTAATGTTTAATTCTGATAATTTGATCATAGTACATTATATAAATTTGATTTGATGATCTTCAACTGTGTGCAGAGAGGTTATTGCTGAATATGGAAAGGAGATTTATGTTCTAATGAAAAGGCTATTGAGCTTGATATCTCAAGGACTCGGACTAGAAAACGATTGTCTCGAAATGAAGATCGGCGAGAAGCCGGCGTTTCGAGCACAGGGGAACTACTACCCACCATGTCCGGACCCTGAGCTTACATTGGGACTAAAATGTTCACACTGATGTGAGTGCACTCACAATCATTAGGCAATCCGAAGGGGTAACTGGACTACAAGTGATCAAAGATGGAAACTGGGTTCAAGTTGAACCAATCCCCAATGCATTTGTCATCAATATCGGCGATCAAATTCAGGTAAAAATCATTTATATGTTACACAAACTTTAGCATCATTGGTGAATTCGACTAGAATCTAACTGCAAAAAGACTCATGGTGTACGAATGCATGAAGGTACTGAGTAATGGAAGGTTCAAGAGCGTGCACCACAGGGCAGTGACGAACAAAACTCGAAAACGAGTTTCGATAGCGACGTTCTACACTCCGGGTAAAGATACAATTATCGGTCCGATTCGGGATTTGATTGGTGAGCAGCATCCTCCTCTATATAGGGAATATAGTTTCTCAGAGTTCCTTGAAGAATTCTTCAAGCAAGAAGGAACAAGACGGATGGTCAAAGAAACTTTTGAGTTGAAAGTTTAAAAATGCCCCAAATTGTTATGTTCCAATGTGCTGGGAAAAATATTGTTTCGCCGAAAATAATGTTACATTAGCGAGTAATTCCACTGTAAGTATTGCAACACGGACCTGATTAATTATATCGAACATTTGTTTATGATCATTAAAACACAAACTAACTACTAAATAATGAAAATTGAACCACATAGGGAAATAACTAAAATTTCAATAAAATAAATAAATAAATTAAATATACGAACAAACATCATAATCAATAGTGAAAGATAAATATCAGTAGCGGATCTAAAAATTTAAGAATGAAGATCCAAAATACTTTTTTTTCCTAGCAAAAAATGATGAAACTCCTTTATATAAAATCAGTACATAAATTTTTTTTGTATATTATAACTCAATAAACTATATTCACTGTATGTTCATTCAACTCATCATTGGTGTACTGTAATATTTTAGTAAAACTTCTCTAATAATATCGATATTCCATCACAATTTCGAAACCTACAAAATACAAATAAAAACAATCTGAACGTATATAAATTTAAATCAATTTGATTTTATATTTCCATAGTTAATTTCTTTAACAAAATCAAATTCGAATATATTTAAACTAAAATACTTAAATTTACATCTTAAAATTCAAAGTCATTTCTCAAGCTCACAATTTCAAATTTAATTTGGAAAAAAATGAACAATAACAAAACTTTATTTAAGCATATGTTAATTGTCGTCCTTTATTACTGTAATATTGTCTAATCAAAGTAATGTTAGGAGGAAAAGCTATAAAAAAACCAAAGATAGCACATGGTGGGACATATAGGCTAGCCTTGCACACAATTCATCTATATCCCCCAAACATAACAATCATCTAATACTCCTATTCTTATTTGTTTTCCCTTTACTAATTCAATTTAATATTATTTTAAATTAAATCCTTCATATCTCTCCAAAATTGTTTGGGACAGTAAAGGCAATCTTGCTTATAAAATTATGAATTAGTTGCACACGATTTCTCCAAACTATGCCTTGCAATTTAATTTATCCGTTGTATATAAAATATTTCAGATTAATATTCAAATTGTTATCTAACTATAGATTAACTCCTAAGTTCCAAAATATTTTATATCAATCCTTATTCTATCAATACCATTTCACTTTAATCCACGTTATTATCGTTTTCCAGTGTTATGTCTTTTATGTGTATATGTATCCAAGCTGTCCAATGAGAGTTCATATGGTTTTCCTTCTCCATTGCAAGTTTCGATAAATTCCGGTAATGGTCCCCTTAGTCTTCCATAATTCATTGCCATTGCTTTTTGGGACTTGTTCGTTACTTCGTTTGGTGTTTTATTCAAACAACCATTGCTTGCTTGCTTGCTTCGATGCTGATTTGCTTGTCCTCTCTGGCAATTAAAACACCACAATCTGTTAAAAAAGAAAATCATTGATCAGGAGTTGGCCACGGCCCTATACAACTTACTTAGCATAAACAGCAATATAATATCAAATAATTCGAGATAAATCCGACATCAACATTGTTGTACCCCGCTAAAGATCTTCCGCACACACCATCCATCAACAAACATCACAGTATAGCATAATTGATATAGTAACATGACTAGCTCCGAGAAGGGTTTATTCCATTTAGGAATTTAATCCAACTCGACTCTGGATATAATAGGAACCCAACAACTACCTGACGCAGAGAGTTTCGATGAAAACATAGATATTCCAGGCCTAAACCATAAGCATACAGTTCCGGAAATAGTTGCTGTATCTGTGAACACATAAGATGGCAAGGAATAAAGATTCAACAATACAAAAGACCCACATCAACTTGCCATTGTCTTCTTGCATGCAAAGTTCAAAGGATTTACTGTCGGCTCTCAATGATGCCACAATCATCAATGGATAACAAGCAATTATGGGTCATCATCAATTAATATTTTCTTTTATACAAAATACAAATGGTTGCTTAAAATATTGCCTACTTCTCTAGTAAAGAAAATATGGCAGAAACCAACTTACACGACATCTCTCCATAACTACCTCATATCATTCAATGGGCGGTTCGATGTTTCGTTTCAGACCCCAAGTTTATCTTTACTTATACCTGCAAAATCAATGGAATTCTATTAAAAAAAAGGAAAAATGGGAACCAGAACAGAAAATGAAAAGGGTGACTGAAGACGACGAGAAGTTGTTGAGGATAAGAGAACAGAACGTTGTATTGTATGCAAATACCGGACTGTTTAACGATTGGGTTTAATGGCGCTTGATAAGAACGGAGAATGGGGGAAAAACTCACCATTAAAAGAAAAGTATTTGGTTTTTTGGAGAGATGATCCAAAACGAAACCGGAGTGGGAGAATTCATTAATGACCACGCATCATGTAAGAGCAGTTCTCCATA